TCTTCCAGAAATCTCAGTGAAAATTACATCACTGAACTACGTAAGGATTCCTTTGAAGGCCTGCTGTCCCTCCAGTATTTGTGAGTTATTTAATCATATTTATTTGTGAGTTTTAAGTTATCGGTAATGTGAGGAGGGAGCTCAAATTAGATATTCTCCAAAATCTCTTCCAGCAGTAAAATGCTACAATTATGCAAGTCCGTGTAGGTCTGCATCTATATTTATCATCAAACACCCTATATGCATTTTCACTTTTTAAATCATATAGACCAAATACAAATGAAAAATTCCTGTTACAGAGGAGAAGTGGTAATAAGACCTGAGGATTTACTGATGCTAATATGAACATTGTTTTATACGTGTTCTTGTGCCATTGGCTTGTATTTATATTTCCCCTATGGGCCATGGATCATATTGATCCGCAGTCTGATTTTACTCAGCTCATAAGTCAATTATGGTTTTTCTGTTTTTTAAGTGCTGTAAAAGAAAAGGAAAAAAAACCCCAAATATATAACAGAGATTGTAAGTGACCTGAAAACTCTATAAATATTTGGTATGTGGCATTTACAAAACAGTTTGAAAAAGTTTAATTAGATGAAAGAATTAAAGTTGACTTTAGAGTGGTGCCTAGAGAAGAAGACAATGCCATCTAGTCCACCTTTGTTAATTTGAATGCCATTAACCCAGAGTGGTTGGACAATTTAATCTGAATGAAATTAACACTTAAGTATTAAATGGTTAACTAAGCAGGTCAGTTGTAATAGTATTATCCAGATGGTTAAACTATCAGAATTGACTGCCGGTATTTCAATGCAGGAATCACTACACCCATGTTGAAAACAAGTGTTTCAAATGAAGGTTAAATGGCATCCTAGAAATGTTTACACTCAGCATAGAAATGCCCTCTCTTCACTAATAACAATAAAAATCTCTGCAACCTTGTTGTCAAGGAGGAATTACTTGCATAGTATTTTTATCTGTTTAGAGAAAAGGCGATACTATCTTCTTTGGTGTGAAAGCTTGATTCTTATCAAAGCTTGATCTTAAGCTAGTTAATGATATTTTAGCAAGTAGAGCTTTCTTTCAAGAAGGCTTAAAGAAAATGGACCGAAAGAACCTATATCATAGGTGCCTAAAAATGGTGTCTGGAATGACGAAAATTTCTACGCCCTAAGGCAGTGGTGGCAAACCTATGCCACACTTGTTATTTTCTTTTAAGATAAAAAATGTTAAGGGAAGAGCTGTTTTTTCGAAACTAAAAGCTCACTATTCAGGTTTAATTGTAGTGTTGGCACGTTGTGACAAATGAGTTTTGGGTTGCAGTTTGGGCAGTAGTCCCTGGAAGGCTTGCCATTACTGCCCCAAGAGATGCCAGTTTGTTGTTGAT